ATAATCCAAAATTTAAATGGTTTCGATTTTACGACTTATCTCAAAATGCTTCAGCTAATTTTTATGGAGTTCTTGTTTTATAAATATATGACAATTTCAAGCTTCTTTTTATACCGCTAGTTGGCGCATGCTAATCTGCAATAGAAAATTCATGTCGAAGTAATATATACACCAGAGGAAAAGCCATCAAATCTCTTCGAGTTGCATTTTTGAAACTTACGTTTTGAAAATGACTCCTCCGTGTTCTCATCATGATAATAGAAAATAAATATGTGGGTCATGTCGTCGAAAAATTATTTTTGGCAAAATATAGCCAGAAAAATTTTTAATAAATAAATCTACTGAAAAACTCATACAAAAGTTTATATCAATGGATTTTGATTTAAACGATGAAAAATATCCTTTGAGTACTCGTATATGTAGGTCTTGTTATTTGACACTTCTTGATGTTGAAAAAGACATTTTTAATCGGCAAGTGCCAACTATGCCTAATTATAAAGAGTTAGTATTAGCGAAACAAACTTGTTTGAATAACGCTTGTTGTAATTGTTATGAATAACACTCTGGACCACTTTTGCATGTTTGGGGAACACCGTGTTGTGCCGCTGATAAATGCTCGTCTTCCCTTTCCGGGTCGATTTCGAATTAAACATTCTTAGAACATGGATTACAATATATGTCGGCATCACCCTTGTAACCGCTTGTCAATTCGTAGCCACTCGAAGAACTGTCACCGGCGATGGAATGTTAAGGGCTTGTTTGTGTTTATGTTACAGGAATATTAGAGTACCAAATTGTTATTTCTTCAGGGTCAAGTTTTAGCCTGTGTGTTAAAGACCATCATTATCTAACTTTTGTAAACACTTCCTTATATGGTCATGTTTGGTAAAAAGTAAACTGATAGGGTACAGGAATGCACTGGGCAACGCCCCTGTGAACGGAACAAAACTGAAAGCCCGGGAAGCAACTGCATTATGCAATTGATGAAACAACAGTAGCTGTGTGGCTTTTATTATTATTATTGTTTTGATAGAAAAGTAGTGAACAGGTTGCTAGGGCTGACACTGCTGACAGTGGCGAACCGTTAGTTCCTATTTTATAATTTGTAGAACAGCTGCCGTATTTGTAATAAATAGTGCCAACGTCACCCGTGTGTTATTTCGATGGAGACAATGGAGCAAACTAATTCCCATATCCACCCAGTGTCTCCGACATATACGGGGTGATCCATTAAAAAGTAACTTTAATTAAATATTCAATAATTAATAATCTAGCCAATTAATTTCGGTATGTATGTACCCTTATATTATTAATAATAGTAAATCCATACAACACGTTTACTATTTGGGCATAGATAGCTTTGACATATATTTCTAAAACCTTGTTGAATTAGTAAAAGGTATAGGCTGTTTTTATTATCATCGCAATATCTCAGTAAATTTAGCAACAAAACCACAAGTCGACGAATCCATGTGTCAAGGTTGTTAATTTTCAATAAAAAACTACATCTTTCATTTAAATTTTGTATGTAGTTCCAACGTGCTGTAGGTGTATAGGTATTTCCTATTCCGTCCTCTCAGTTGGCCCTTCTATCAATAGCCCTCGCTAACCTCGATGAATTGAGTTACTTGTTGTCAAAATAGTAAACAAATCTATGAATATTTGTATGGAAATTAAAGCTGGACACTATTAGGGTAAATTGTACTCATGATGGTACTGAGTACCTAAAGAACTCGATACCGAGCACTTTTACTTTGATCGGTTTCAGTACTCAAAATTTTTAAACATTTTGCAAATTCTGAGTACTATGTGTATTTGCTCAGTACTGTTTGATATACAGGGTCGTTGTCTATTACAATAAATAAATAAAATAAATAAATAAATAACCTTTATTTTCTTGGAGACTTTATAATAAAGTATAGGAATAGTCAATAAAAGAGTCATTACATAGGTACTCGTAACTAAAACTTACTGTTAAAAAGAAAGTTTTTGAATTTTCGTTTAAAAATATTAATGTTATTTTCAGTTCTTGTAGGGTAGTTATGGTACTCACAATTACGCATGAAACTTTTATAATTACTTTTTGCGTATAGTATACATTTGTAGATGTATATAGAATAAAAAGTAAGTATATTAAATTGTTTAAAGTAATCTTCTGAGAAATAAAAATTCTGGAAGCATCGCTCGAACTTCCCCATAAGATAACGTTGTAAGAAATGCGAGAATAAACAATAGCATAATAAACACCAATTAGTTGATCAATGGTAAATATATTTTTCAACTGAAGTATTGCATATAAACTACTATTTAACTTCTTACATATGTGATTTATTTGAGTAGTCCACTTCATATTACTATCCAAGTAGACTCCTCGGAATTTGGCGGTATTTGAAAACTGAATATTTATATTATTAACTAAGACTGATAAATTGCCTGAAATTTATGTTCTGTTGAAAAATTGCATACAAACAGTTTTGTTTGCATTAACCATTAAAGCGTTTCTTTCGCACCAAGTTGTAAATTCCTTGGACAGAAGGTTCATATTTCTTATTAGCTCTTCTGGAGACTTTGCATCTGTTGCTAAAGTTGTGTCATCTGCATATAGAATATGATGTTTTGTACTCACATAATGTGGAAGATCATTTATGTATAATAAGAAAATTAAAGGAGCAAGAATTGCCCCCTGAGGTACTCCAAGCTTTATTTGCTGAGGACCAGATCTCTGGTCACCCATTTTAACTATAATTTTCCTAAATTGTAAGTAAGAAGTCGGCCATTTCAAAAAGCTACCACGAAATCCCAAATTATTTAATTTATTTACCATTATACTTAAAGTTACAGAATCAAATGCCTTAGATATGTCGAAAAAGAGTGCACCTACATACTTTCTTGCATCTAGTGAGCTATGAATAAAATTAAGGAGAGCGACAGATCCACTTTATGTCGATCTTCCCTGTAAAAAAACATGTTAAGGTTCTGTTATTACATTATTCACTAGGAATGAGAACATTTTTTTATAAATACATTTTTCAATAATTTTGAATATTACAGTTTGAACAGTTATAGGTCTATAATTATCAAGACATAATCGACTATTTTTTTTTGTGAATTGGGGTGACAAGTCCAGTCTTTAGGTCAGCTGGAAAGGAACCACTTTGTACCGAAAAGTTTATTATATTCGACAGAATGTGAGCAATATGTGGTGCTATACTCTTAATCGACCTTGTTGAAAGGCAGTCGATACCCACCGAATTAATATTTCTCAAATTATTGATAGCATCCAGTACATCCCCATCTAACACTGCATTGAAATAGAAAGTATTATAAACGTACATTGTAGTATTATTATTAAAGTTAACATCTTTAAAATGCCTATCTAAGTATCTAGCTCATTTTTTGCATGTTTTGCAAAGAATTCTGCAAACGGGTTTGCAATTTCATATTTATTATTCACTACTACTCCATCTAATTCAATAGCATCAATAGTATGCTGTTTTTTTTCCCTACTTTCCCTTGGACAGTACGCCATATAAATTTTTGTTTGTCTACGACATTTTTATTATCTAAACTTTTCTGATAGAAAAGCTTCTTTACCTAATTTATTTTAGCAATATAATTCTTTTTAAAAACTTTGTAATTCATATGATCTTGCGTGTTTGGAGAATTTTTTATTAACCAAAACATATTCCTCAGATTAGTACCCATCTGCCTAAGTTCACAATTTATCCATTTTGCATTAGTCGTTTTGACACTTTTTTTTTGTAACAAGTGGACATGTTCGTTCAATACAATAAAATAAAGAAAAATGTACAGGAGTATACAAAAGTATACAGGATCAGTCAAAAACCATATCTGTTCGGCCCACAAATCGGGATTGTTATTGTTCGGGAATAATCGTCCAAGCTCTGGAATAATATGTTCTTGCAAAAGTAATAAATATCGTTCAGAGGTCAAATTTCTGTTTATAAAATAGGGTCCTATGACGTGTGCACCAATAATATCACAGCAAACATTTACTTTCTGTGGTCGCAAGGAACCTCCTCTATCCGATGTGAAATTTGATCTGACCAATGCCTACAGTTGTGTCGGTTTACGTGCCCATTTAAACAAAATGTAGATCAGAAAACGATATGTGGGTGACAAAGTTGACATTTTCATTTAATTTGTCCATAATAAGTTCGCAGAACTCGATTCTACGATCATAATCGTCTTCACTCAAATCTTGTAACACATGAATTTTATATCGATGTAATTTTTCCCGTTCACAAATTATTTTAATGGAACATCGACTCATGTTATGACTTAAGGCCCTCTGTTGTGTCGAATTTATTGGATTTTCCACCACATTTAACATGACATTTAAGGAATTTTCTTCATTTATAACGCTTACTGGTCTTCCACTATTTGGTCTATCTGTAACACCTCGCTGTAATGTTTTTGAAATAATTGATTTAGAAATACACTCCCAATCGGGATGCAATTCATGAAAAATATCCACTACTTCGTCACGACTTTGTTTTCTATCACCATATCCTATGACCATTAAAACTTCAATACGCTCGGTTTCACTTAAACGTGCTAAAGGTTTTTGCGAGAAAATTATTCACAAAATGTATTTTTGACATGTGTCAAGATAATCGCACTATTAGACAAAAGAACTAAGCGGCATTGTTATGGAGCTAGAAACTTTCAAATGTAACTTGATGGACACATAATAGACAAATATTTTTGTATAATTTAAAAGAAAATTATTTTCAAAATTCGGTATCTCGAAAATGGTTCTTTATTATAATAGATTTTAAAAAATCTTAAGATGTTTATCTTATGATTTTTTGATAGCTATCTTACGTTAGAAGATAATCATCCATTTCCATACCACCAACCCTGTATAAATCTGAGGAGTAGTACCTAAGCACGACTATTGTCAGCTAGAGTTAACTTATTTTTAAAATATTGACTACATTGGCTTCAAGTTGAGATTCAGATAAAAATAAATAATATTTAGTTTCCCACCAATGCTTGTTTTAATTAATGTATACATTGCACATGTATTATTAATATTATTATTATATGAGTAACTTAATTCTGTTGTTGCCATTTAGAGAATTATTCTCNTCTCCCAGTCCGATTGCCTAATTTGCTCTTAATGATCGAATAAAAATCAATAAACAAATGAAGATCGGTGGGAGTCTCCCAAAGTTAAGGTACAACTAATCAGAAGAAGAATGGGCTCTACCGCATCAAAATTGGCCTTTTCCAACCCACGTAATATCCGAAATACGCTAATTTGTTAATAATAATTGATTATTAATAAATAAACAAATTAGCGCCGCATGAGACGTTGTAGACTTTGACCTACATGCAATTACGAAGAGAACGCACTTTGTCTCATCAAAATCGAACCTTCTTTATCCAATTCCGAGGTGAAATGCTAATTTTCCTGGACTTAAACGTGTTAAAGGTTTTTGCGAGAAAATTATTCACAAAATGTATTTTTGACATGTGTCAAGATAATCACTATTAGACAAATGAACTAAGGCGGCGTTGTTATGGAGCTAGAAACTTTCAAATGTAACTTGATGGACACTTAATAAACAAATATTTTTGTATAATTTAAAAAAACACGATTTTAAAAATTCGGTTTCACGAAAACGGTTCTTTGTTGTAATAGATTTTAAAAAATCCCAAGATGTTTGTCTTATGATTTTTTGATAGTTATCTTAGGTTAGAAGATAATCATTCATTTCCATACCACCGACCCTGTATAAATCTGAGGAGTAGTACCTAAGCACGACTATTGTTAGCTGGTGTTAACTTATTTTTAAAATAATGACTACATTGACTTCAAGTTGAGGTTCAGATAAAAATAAATAATATTTAGTTTCCCAATTTAATTAATGTATACATTGCATATGTATTATTAATATTATTATTATATGAGTAACTTAATCCTGTTGTTGCCATTTAGAGAATTATTCTCGCTGCTGGCAGTCCTTTCACATTTAATCCTGTCACTCTGTATAAACCTCCATCCTCTGGAGCTGAAGGAGCAACACCTTTAATAGGCATTCTTCCAGTTGTTACGTATAATTCGTCGAAATTTGGACCACCAAAAGCAGCGGATGTAACCTGAAAATGATATTGTAAATGTATGTAGGAGTTTTGGAGTTGTATTTTTTAATAAAGAAAAACATACACTGATTTTGGTATAATTGCATATAAAAACTTCTACAACTTATTCTGATATGTTTTTTTGACCTAACAACGGGTTATAATGTCATCGCTTTTGCCAAGATACCAAGGTAATTTAACAGCTGTTAAAGTGTATTTCATACCTTCATTTACACCATGATTTTTTTTTAAATCATCCAATCAGTGTCTAGTTTTCAAATCATGTTCTCGAAATCATAGCTAAAAGAACGCACATAAATTTGTTGTTCCTGAAATCTATCAAATACGAAGGAAATAGTTTGAATTAATATATAAATAATTATAGTTACTTCAGGCCACAGGATGTAAAAAATACCGTGTATAAATCGAGAATTATATTATTAGCTTTAATTAGTTTAACAGTCTCTATTTTAGACGAGTTTTGCAGTAATAAGTATTTCTTGCGACATATAACATGACAAAGTCAGACCTCGAGCAGTTAGAGTATCTCCAATGTGCATACAAATTTAGTTTTTTAGTTTCTTACCTGTTTACCCGGAATTTGGATAAAGTCCTCTATAATTCCTGGTTTTCTAGGATTGACCTTTATCATACGACTTTGATTGAAAACAGCCACCCACAAATTCCCATCTGAATCAATCGTCATCCCATCCAGCACTATTAATTCTGCTTCTGGGTCGAGTTTTTCGAATAATGTGTAAATTGGTTTTTTGTTAGCTGAAATTTAATTTGATCACTAATGACAGTTTGGATTTTATAACTGTGAAAAACTGATAATAATTCTTCAAGGTCGATACAAATTCAACCACCAGATCAGAAATTTAATATATCATATGTTTTCGAGGAACGAACGGTATTCATTTTCCTAACATTTTTACATATACAGTGTGTTCCGTTTTTTCGGGTTAACACATCTGGAAATGTGAGAAGACTATGGACTTTCCGCAAGCCAATTTTTTTTACAAATAGTTCCCTGAAAGGAGGTAATATTCTACTAATCATTTTATTGATGTCACAAACACCTGGCCTACTACGATTTTTTAAAAGGGTCGTTTTTCCATAAAGTGGTATTAGGCATTTTATTATTAAAAAGATAATATTACCAGACAATTCAAAACCCATCAAAATACCCATATACCAAATTTGAATGACAAATGTCTATTAAGTGTTTTTTATGTGGTGCCAAACTTCGAAAAATCAGAAAACTAAAAATAATAATAAGCAGGTCAAAGATTGCCATGAAAGTGAAGACAAATATAATTTTTAGCGGTTTGATTTTTCAAAGTTTGGTGCTACTTACAAAAACACTCAATAGACATTTGTCGTATATGGATACTTTGCTGAGTGTTGAATAGCCTGGTAATATTATCTTTTTAATAAAAAAAATGCCTAATACCACTTTCTGAACACTTCTCAGCACTTTTTTNTCCAATCAGTGTCTAGTTTTCAAATCATGTTCTCGAAATCATAGCTAAAAGAACGCACATAAATTTGTTGTTCCTGAAATCTATCAAATACGAAGGAAATAGTTTGAATTAATATATAAATAATTATAGTTACTTCAGGCCACAGGATGTAAAAAATACCGTGTATAAATCGAGAATTATATTATTAGCTTTAATTAGTTTAACAGTCTCTATTTTAGACGAGTTTTGCAGTAATAAGTATTTCTTGCGACATATAACATGACAAAGTCAGACCTCGAGCAGTTAGAGTATCTCCAATGTGCATACAAATTTAGTTTTTTAGTTTCTTACCTGTTTACCCGGAATTTGGATAAAGTCCTCTATAATTCCTGGTTTTCTAGGATTGACCTTTATCATACGACTTTGATTGAAAACAGCCACCCACAAATTCCCATCTGAATCAATCGTCATCCCATCCAGCACTATTAATTCTGCTTCTGGGTCGAGTTTTTCGAATAATGTGTAAATTGGTTTTTTGTTAGCTGAAATTTAATTTGATCACTAATGACAGTTTGGATTTTATAACTGTGAAAAACTGATAATAATTCTTCAAGGTCGATACAAATTCAACCACCAGATCAGAAATTTAATATATCATATGTTTTCGAGGAACGAACGGTATTCATTTTCCTAACATTTTTACATATACAGTGTGTTCCGTTTTTTCGGGTTAACACATCTGGAAATGTGAGAAGACTATGGACTTTCCGCAAGCCAATTTTTTTTACAAATAGTTCCCTGAAAGGAGGTAATATTCTACTAATCATTTTATTGATGTCACAAACACCTGGCCTACTACGATTTTTTAAAAGGGTCGTTTTTCCATAAAGTAGTATTAGGCATTTTATTATTAAAAAGATAATATTACCAGACAATTCAAAACCCATCAAAATACCCATATACCAAATTTGAATGACAAATGTCTATTAAGTGTTTTTTATGTGGTGCCAAACTTCGAAAAATCAGAAAACTAAAAATAATAATAAGCAGGTCAAAGATTGCCATGAAAGTGAAGACAAATATAATTTTTAGCGGTTTGATTTTTCAAAGTTTGGTGCTACTTACAAAAACACTCAATAGACATTTGTCGTATATGGATACTTTGCTGAGTGTTGAATAGCCTGGTAATATTATCTTTTTAATAAAAAAAATGCCTAATACCACTTTCTGAACACTTCTCAGCACTTTTTTCATTTTGTTACCAACTTCTAGTTGTTTCTCTTCTTTACAGAAGAAAATACACAATTGCTATATCTTCAAAATCGCTGTGTCATCTATGTTGTCTTTTATTCTTGAGTCTGCATTATTCTACTGGCAATCCTTATTCATATGCGACTTTGGTTCAGGAGGTAGAAGAACTTTTTGGCTTGCTTGCCATGAATTTCTAGCTACCATTTTTGAGCCTTATATTTGCGCATGAGTGCTCAGCACGCAATACTGTAGGTGAATGCAGATAACTTTTCGCTAGGAGTAAGTCATTGGTTTTTAATGTTCGTCCCGTTTCAAAGTACTTAATGACCATCGCCTCCATCTGGAAGATAGCAGCATGCATTGCTAGACTAAATTGAACTTGAACAATTTCCTTAGTCCCATGTATTCCAGTTCCAACTCATATGTTTATCTCTGAGTCGTTTATATATCTTGAAGTTCTTAATTGTATTTAAATCGCCTTACAGCTTCTAGTGTATACCCCACCCTGAGTCCAAATGATTGATATATATCCTTATTATAATCCTAGCATACAAATCGTGCTTGTTCTTGAATGAAAATATTTCAGCAAGACATCTAGGGCTAGGATGTGGCTCTCAAGATCTTGTCCTCATGATCCTCAGTCAATCTAGATTTTTAATACCACTTATGAGCTTTTCCACTTCCTATTGCAGCGTCTTCGGTCACCATAGGTTAGCACTGGACTTTTTGTGTGTAAAACGATTAGTCCATTTCCTGTCTCAATTTTTTCTACATAGTTGCCTGGAAGATTTTGCAGAAAACAACTATTCTGCAGATATAGTTGCCTATAGTCTAGAAAAATGTAATTTTTTATTTCGTAACTGAGACAGAGATATGGTCGAATCATCACACTGTCACTCTAAAGCAACTGATTATATAAAATTTCTGATTTACATAGCTAGACAATTTTCAGGATACTTTTACAATTTTTAGACTTTTATAAAGCCATTGATGATGTTTTATATTTTGCTAATTGATGATTATAATGTTAGCAGAATATTATGCCGAATTTCGGATTAGTGACTCGGATTCCAAAAATATTTACATAGTATTAGGGCGCAAACGATATTTTTTTCATATTTAGGTACTTACTTATAGTCCCTTCTTTGATGTCAAAGTCGTATTGGTCGAGTGTACCCCTATAAGAGTCAGCGTAGTAAAATTTGTTTGCAGCAACGTCAATAGCAATTCCATTGGAAATCCCTATTTTGGTTAGATGTTTGGTTACTTTTCCATTTTTTACACTGTAAAAGTTGCCTTTCCCGTCAGGAATATCATCGTCTGGCGGCGCGACCCCCATGGTACCTAGAGGAAGCTGCTAGTGTATTACACTTGGAAATATTTTCAATAAATAAATGATAATTATAGAATGGGTCATATCTTAATGGAAAAGTTCCGGATATTATATCTACAGCGATTGAGACAAAAACACAATTGAAATGTTACTAAATTGGATATGTGTCTCACTAATTTAATTTTATAGGTAGAATAAACGCGATCTTTCACATCAAAAATAAAAACAAAACTTGATTAATGAATGAGTGAATATAAGAAAATAGTAAACACAGTGTTTCACCACAGTTTGTATTAAATAGGGTCATGTTTCATAAACTGTTTTTAACATCTTATCCTGAAACATTAAGAATATCTTATTATTAATTTGCATCACATTTCAAATCTTGTGTAACAGATTAATGTTGTTGAATAATATAAAGTGAAACAAAATATCTCTTTTATCTCGAACACTTTTTTACTTTTAACAGTAAACTATTTTTAGTCGAAATTAAATAAATAAACTTTCAAGATTTTTTGCTCAATATGTGCGCCATCAAGCATCTTTTATCGGTGAGCGAAAGAAAAAATATATGCAATATGCAAAATGAAGCAATATTTCATAAGATTTATCTAACTCATTTATCGTATTTTGGCTTCAGAAATTTCCCATTAGTCATGTGACGTTCTTAATAAAATACTACTCTACATCTTCTTATTTCTTATATCTTCGTATATATTTTAATAACAAATTGGTCAAAACGGGGAACTTGTTTGAAGTTTGATTGAGTAGCGTTTATAAGAAATAAACATTATTAGCCAATTTTTCCATTAAAAAAACTTAATTTTTTATTATAAAATTTTAGAAGGAACGTAAATATCAACATCCTCGAAGAAAAATTATACCGATGATGACTTTTCTGGTTCAAAACTTAATTAATGTATGATAAAAGGATCAATGCAAAAATATTAATAATTGTATTTTCTTTTTTCATATCACAAATCAAATAATAAATGTGTTTTTGCCAATAACTTTTAACTGCTTTGAAGGCGAGGGATAAGTTATGGACGATAAGTTACTACTAAGAAACATGATTATTTGAGGGTTTTAGTTGATTCAGGTATAACCCATGACGTGCATAGCGGGGAGGTATGACCACATTTTTATCAAAAAAAAAAATTGTTTAGTTAATTTCTGGATTTTTGTATTACCAAATAATTCTTTGCCTTTAGTATTATTATTTTAATTTTAACAGAGACATAAACAATATTGTTTAAATCTGAAGTTAATACCTTTTATAATTACTGTTGCGTTCGCACATTCAAATCATTAGTATTAAGCAACTGTTGTTTGATTTTGTAAATGTTAACTTGTTACAATAGTTAGTTAGAGTCTTATGTGACCTTTTAAACCTTCTTAGAAATTCGCTTATTGTTAGAATAAAACCTCTAAAGAAGACCGATTGCAATGAACCAAGACCAATCAACAGAGCTGCCATATTTTAATACATCACCTTTATAACCCTAAAAGTGTTAAAAGTACCTAACTACAATGACAGTAGTAATGCCTATTGATTATAACTGTTACTATTATTTAACTTACAGTAACGATGCATAACTATTGATATAGAGTATTTCTGTTTTGTATGTCTCTGGTAGCATCTACCGCATATTCATTGTTAAGAGTTTTATAAAAGCACCTTATAAATATTGTGTTAGTTAATGTCTTATAAGTTATAATAAAGATATCAAATCAACAGCGGTAGCAAGCTAGTAGTTATTGTTAAATTATTATTAGTAGCTTAAGTTATATAAAGAAAATAGTTGTCAACATCTTTAAATAATCTACCTAATTATAAAATCTATGGTAAAAGAAATTCGATATTTTATTATCAAGATGACAAGTAACATTCTTCAACAGAAATATTGATGATTAATTATTATCAATGTAACACTTATAAAACCACAAGCACCTTACGTTAACGCTGTTACAATAATGCAAGCCTTTTATAAAACTAATTCATATTTTATATATAAGTTAAGGTAACAGAAAATGTTACTTGGAAGTTATATAAACAACTACGAGTATACAGGGTGATTACAGTACAGGACTTATCGAAAAAAAATTGGGAATAGATGCGGCATGAGAAATGGAGTCAATATCGTAAACAAATTTTTTGTAAAATCCTTATAGTTTCCGTGAAAAAAATTATTGAAGTTGTAGTATATTCAACGACTACATAGCTGGACAACTGTAGTCTCTAGCGTCATTCGCAATGCGCGTGGGGAGCCACGTGGCCTCAGCGACTCCGAATACTGAAATCGGATTTTGCTATCGTCGTTGCAATAGTAGGTATTTACCTGTTATCTGTGGTGTTCACAATAGTTTTTTTAGTAGTTACTCTCAAAAATGGTTTGCGTGTATAGCAACTCGGAGTTGATGGATATCGTTTTAATTTATGGTGAAGCATTTGTGTTATGGTGAAGCAAGACAACATTTGTGTTAGTTCGTAGAAACTGAGTAAGACGAACCCAAATGTGTTTACACGTTGGTGGATAAAATTTAGAACAATTGTTGTTGTAACATCGGGTATGTCAAATGATTTTATTATTTAAAAACACAAATTAATTGTATTAATAAATTAATAAAGGCAAAAGCAGTTGAATTTGCCGATATAAAATAGGTGCGATAAAATTCTGTTTACATATTTCTTTTCTTGCGATAGTTTTTGTCCGTTTTTATCACACCGCCATGCCGGTCGCATTGTGCGAGGTCAGGTTTTACAGTGGACCAGTTTCCAGTGCCGTGCAGAAGTGTATTTTTAAATCATTTTCGAGCTGCCCTTTTTGATTTTTTCTTTCAAAATTGTATTTGTAAGGGTTCCCTGTACATCCATATTTTTTTTTTCTGAATCACCCTGTATACTATAAAATGTACACTCAGCATAATGTAAGTAATTAAATACAGATAACCCAAAAATAGACAAAAATTATTACAAAACAATAACACTGATAAGAGAATAATAAATAAAAGATATTTACTAAATGTATTATTAAATACACTGATTATACTATTGCTATGCCCCTATGAGTCCGGCCGAATTAGTTTTTTTTTCAAAGCACTATTTGATGCAATTATTTTGGAATCTGTATATTAAAAAATCACCAAGATTAGGACCCTAGTTACCGTTTTTTTTGTTTTTTTGTTAATAACTTTTTTATTTTGCTACTTAAAAATCTGAAATTTACGCAGACCTTTTTATCCTTTTTTAACGAATTTCGATAACTTGACATGGGCAGAAGATATACGCGCTTGAATTCTCGACTTTATAATTTTAGTTATATTTCCCTGTAGTTTCATCCAATTTCAGTCAAATTTGTTCTTTTTATTTAAATCTGAAAATTTTGGGCAAGTTTTTTTCACCGCAAAGTTTGCAATGTAAAAAAATTGTTGCGAGTTTTCGCCAAGACCCCTTCTTCTAGCAAATTTCCTCAGGAACAAAAATCGATAAGTATACCTCATGTCGATTAGAGGCTTATCTTAATAATAATATCTTAATAAATACACAAATTTAGGCTGTTATTCTGTGTATTTTTTACTTAATTTTAAGCCCATAATATTCGGGTTAGGCCCGATTTTTGAAACGGGTATGTGTTTGGTTTAATTCTCCCGGATTATAAATAATTTAATTATTTACTCTACCTGTCCAAAGTCTTCCTGATGGATCACACTTTCCATCATTCAAAACATTCTCTGTGTTTTCATCCACTTCATGCAATATCTTCAGGCTTGCGACTTTTTCGCTCTCACCGTCCCACGTTATCAGAGCAATTTCTCGTCCATAAGTGATAACGAACTGATCGGTTTGTCCCTTCACGGGAATTATTATTGAAACATTCTTACCTAGACAACAAAACGATAAGGAATGAGAGATACAAGTATAGGTATAGATTTTAATATTACCTATGTATGCTTTGGTGTGTTTTTTTGTCGAGGGCACGTATTTGTTGATTGTTTGTTTGATGATATCGACGTAGTAAAGACTTTGGGTCTCGTCATCCCAGTGGGGTCCTTCACCTAGGGAGGTCGTCTCGACGTTTAGCTTTTCGACTTTCGGTGCCATCGTCTAAAGTCTGACTGGTAGTAATTACGATGCCGCAACAATTTATCACTGGCAGTACATCGGATTACACCAGTGGCGGCTCGCCAGGTGGCGCAAGTGACGTGACGCACCTCTTCACCTAAAATTTCCGTTTGGTTGTGCAATTTAAAATTATTTTTAATTTTATGTAAATTTTATAATTTAGGTATAATTCTATATTGAAAATGTATTGTGTTTGTTTGTTTAATACGCAGAAATAAACAGAATAGTTGCGCGGTGAACGCCTTCTAAAAAAACATTGTCTTCGTTGAGCGCGAACATCAACCTCGTAGCATAGCGGATCGAAATCAGTCTGTATTCCGCTTCTCTTTGTAGCGTTCATAAATGTCAATCGTATCACCCACATATTGTTTTCTAACGAATCCAAATTTTGTTTAAACTTGCACATAAATAGATACAACTGTAGATATTGGTCAGACCAAATTCCACATTGGATGACAGACGTTCACACCAAATGACCACAGAAAGTAAATATTTGATGTGGCACGTCATAGGACCTATTTTATAAACGGAAATTTGACCTCTGAAAGATATTTATTATTTTTGCAAAAATATATTATTCCAGAGCTTAGACGATTATTCCCGAATGATGACAATCCCAATTTACCGGCAGACAATTACCTATGGTTTCAACATGATGTGGCAGCTCCACATTTTGGACAAGTGGTACGGGCACATCTAGATGAAACTTTTTCTGATAAATAAAGATTCCGTCTGTAAGAATGGACTAAGAAATGAAAATTCATCCAACAGTTACTCTTTAATGCCAATACGTGGGCACATGTTGTCACATTTAAAATATTAACTGTTGAAATATTTACAGAAACCTGTAGATCGATATCATCAAAACCTCTAGAAAATCAATTACATTTTTATAAGTAAATAAAACAGTATTTTGATTATCACTACTGAAAGTTAATTTTGAGTCGAACCTTCACTCAAATCAACAATATCATTCATTCCGTGCAATATTTCTCCTTTTCCTCAAAATTTGTGTTCATAACTTTTTTCTCTTGCTATACATCACAGAAATTTTAATATTATTGAAAAGAGAAACAATATCAGAAAAAATGATGTACTCTTTATTCAAGCCGATAATTGTAACCGTTTAGCAGGAAATCGCTAATAAAGTGTAATTAAATATCAAATTTTTGATAAATATTTCTGTAATTAATAAAGTTACCATGCTTCAAATAAACGTCATTAGTAATTTTGGTGTTACGAATTGTAACAAAAATTGTTTAAAGCAGGTATAAGTTTGATTTTTCACCATAATAATTTTTTTTCGGCTCTGTAATAGCATTGTGGAAAAATAAGATGATTATAGTGAATTTACTAATAATATTTTATTTACTAACGAAGCTGGTTTTACACTCGAGAAACTGTCACCGTCGATGGAATGTTGTTTTTGTTTATGTTATAGAAATATTTGAAGTACCAAATTGTTATCTTTTCAGGGCTAAGTTTTAGCTTGTGTGTGACAGACCATCATTATCTAACTTTAGTAAACACTTCGTTATATGGTCATGTTTGGTAAAAAGTAAGCTGATAGGGTAGAGGAATGCACTAGGAAACACCCCTGTGAACGGAACAACACTGAATGCCCGGGAAGCACCTGCTTTGATAATAATAATAGTAAGTCCATACAATACCTTTACTATTTGGGCATAGATAGCTTTGACAGATATTTTTAAAACATTGCTGAATTAGTAAAAATTATAAACTGTTTTTATCATCGCATATCTAAATAAATTTAGCAACAAAACCACAGGTTGACGAATCATGTGGGAAGGTTGTTAATTTTCAATAAAAAACTATACCTTTCATTTAAATTTTGTTTGTAGTTTCAACATGCTGTATGTGTATATCTCGTCTTCCGTCCTCTCTGTTGGCAGTTCTGTCAATAGCTCTCGCTAATGTAGCCTTAACCCCGATCAGTTGGATTACTTGTCAAAATAGTAAACAAATCTATGAAATTTGTGTGGAAATTAAAGCTGGACACTACTAGGGTAAATTGTACCCATGTTGGTACTGAGTACCTAAAGCACTTTTATTTTGATCGGTTTCAATACTCAAAATTTTTAAACCTTTTGCAAATTCTGAGTACTGTGCTCAGTACTTTTTGATATACATGGTCGCTATTTATTCAGTATACGCTATTTATACAGCATACAAAAGTATACAGGTTCAGTCAATAAGTCAAAACGTACACCCTGTATATCATTCCATATTTCAATTCTTCTCGAAATTCTAAACAAAATTCATATAGCACATCATGTCCATTTTCGAGATATCGAACTTTGAAAGTAACTTTTTACTACTCTCAAAATTAAAAAGAAAAAGGGTCCCAGATTGTGGATATTTATTTTGAAAATAACACAAGGTGGGGGATATGGATATGATTCAATTTTAATAATAAAAATACATGAAACGAAAAAATGTACTCTTTAATGATTGTTCACACTGAGAGAATTTCTTTGCTATAGTTAGTAAAAATCCATTAACCATAGCAAAATATCTGCATTAAATAGGCGCCAAGTGAGATGCCTTCTTACCACAAGAAAAACTGCTTTGCTGGAAGGAACTCACTTGCAGTAAGTAGACAGTTTTGCTATAATCTTGCTACCTCAAGCAAGTCAACTCATTAACCCCAAGCGACTCAACTCATTAACCCCAAACGAGTCAACACATTAACCCCAAGTGAGTCCTCATTAATCCCATCGAGTCAACTCATTAACCCCAAGCAAGTCAACTCATTAACCCCAATCTAGTAATCTCATTAACTTTGATAGAGTCAACTCATTAACTCCAAGGAATCAATTCCGTATTTACTATTTTTCGGTGTTGTTGACTCTCCTCACTCTTCGTGCACCATGCAATGCAACTAAAAATGTTGTACATATCTTCAAACAAGCATAAATAATGTTGAAATCCCCATTTGAGAAGTAAGCGTTTGTATTCAGCCTGCATTGCGTGAATCATGCATGAATATAAGTACTATTACATACCCAAATTGAAAACTTTCTGGCGGTTGTTAAACAACTGAAAACTGACTCAACATTCGATCACAAAATATCTATTTATTATAAAGGATACAACGACTGACGATTGACGAACGTATATCCCGTATTACGTGTTACAGCAAAATTGCGAAACTTCTCTATGTGCGAAACCATGATCAGCATAAGGCACGCGTAATCGCGCATGCGCACTGAGCCGAATTTCGGTTGATTCTGGAAATTATTAAGTAAGGCCTCAGTTACAGTAAGTGAGCCCTAATTTGCTACAAATAAGGACTGCCTAACCGCAATTGGATCAATTCTAAAAAAGTACATTCACTTACCCGAGCAAAGGAACTCACTTGAGACAGATAAACAGTCGACTTAAATAAAATTCCAAATCCACTATCATATTTTTCTGACAGCAAAAATTTTATCTACTGTAGCTAAAATATCTTAGCAAAGCCCCTCACTTGGTGAATGGGTGTTTTTGGAGGATTAAGAAGAGATGAGTTGGTAAAGCCCTCGATAGATGATATAGATGACAAAGGAATCGTTGTTGTAGTAAAAATTAACCACACAAAAACTAGAGTAACAAAATCTTTTACTATTGTGGAAGAAAATGAAATGCACGCTCCCTAATTGTATCGAAGTACATATCTTTGCTACCAAAAAAAATTAAAGAACGGCGGTTTTTTCTGACACATCGGAATGCTCGATGTAGTGTGCAACCAGTAGGCAAAAATACCTTCGGTAGCATACCGTCCAGGATTGCAAAATATATCGGCTAGGCAGATGCTAAAATGTACACAGGTCATTGTTTGTGTCGTACATCGGCAACTCTTCTCGTAGATGCAGGTGCAGATATGATGACATTGAAATTACATGGAAAATGGAAGAGTGATACTATAGCATCAGGATATGTAGAAGATAGCATAATTTCCAAGAACAAAATATCTCGTTTAAGAGCAAGAGTCAAAAGAATTAAATGACAATTTTTCTAAATTGATTGTGAGGGAAAATGAACAACTTTTATTCGATGGCAAAGAAAATTTAGGTAGTTTTTCTGATGTTAAAGGTTCCTTCTCAAATTGTACTTTCGTTTTTAAAGACGATTGTAAATGATTTTTGTTATTAATTTAAAGCAAATTATTGTTATATATCAAATAATAATGTTAATAAACTTTGTACTTTCATTTGTCTGCTTACCTACTATTCTGCCCTTACAGAAAAGAAGGGAACAAAATAGGGTCAAAATGCGGACGATAATATTTAGGCCCGCTTATTTCGCCCTAGAGTGGTATGACGTTGTTTTCCTATTACGTTTCCTAGTAATAAACAAGCTATATTAACTAAAAATATGACAAGCTTAAAGTAAAACAATTTTATTTCACACAGTGGATATTTATAAAACAAAACTTTCACCAGGATAGCCCTTAAATCCTAATCCGGTTATCCTGTAAACGGCACCATTTACTGGAGGTAATAATTTTTCAGTAGTTCCATATTCTAGAAGCGCCGTGGTGACATAGAGTTCATCTAAGTTTTCCCCACCAAAAGCAATTGATGTAGGCTACGAAAATAAATGAAATTAACTTTAGAAAATTGTAAGTTGTAATCAACTAGGTTTGTTGATTACCTTCAAATGAAATACACGTGAGTGAAGAAAATATCAAATTGCCCCACTAGAAATGTCCTAACTTTGTCATGATTTTGGACCTTTGCAGTGTGCGATATATTCCATGAAAAAATTCAAAGTGCACAAATGATTTATTTGTAAATAGTTTATCCAAAACTGTAAAAGAAGATTCACTGCGACATCAAAAACCCCCCAGGCCTAATAATGCCGACGTTACTAGTCTTGTTTAACTTTTAAATTATATGTAGATAGTTGAACTAAGACTAAACTAAACTGTATAAAGTTTGAAGTTATACTTTCAACAATTTTTAACTAATTGATTGTTTCACAAATTTCGAAGAACCCCTGATACATTTATTTCTTGGTTTGACTTGTTGAAATCAATCAGCCCTAAAAATCACATCACGTGTATCTTCTCTAGAGAGAATATTAAGAATGTAGTATTTAAAATGTTTTTAACAACATAATTTTAGGTTCAGGTATGAATTTACCTGCTGGGCTGGCAATGGAACTGTACAAAGAAGGGTTTCTGGCTTTCTTGGATCAATTTGGATGACTCTGCTACCATTATATATTGCTACCCATAAATTACCATCTGTATCAATAGTCATACCATCAGCAATACCAGGAATGTCGTGAGTTTCTAATGTGAATATGGGCTGACAATTTTCTGAAACATAAGTGTTTTGAGCTTTTTCTAGTAGCTGTTATTTTCTTTTCAGGAATTTTTCTTATCTACAGTACTAGTCAACTCACTAATGGTTCCTTGTTCAATATCCCAATCGTATGCATCTATGGTCTTCTTGTGGGAATCGATATAGTAAAATTTTTTAAGTTCTTTGTTGAATGCTAGTCCATTAGGTATTGCAATATTATCTGCAACTTTCGTAATTTTGTCCTTTTCGATAGAATATATATGACCTAGCTCTTCAGCTAGAACATTTTCTTCATTCAATCCAAGTGTTCCTAAAAATGATGACGTTTGTGTAGATTGCTTATTACTTTACATAAGTTAAAAGATTAGCTAAAGGTTTTTCAATAATTCATTCTTAAAAGGAATATCATAATTTGGATGTTTAAATTAGAGTACTTGGAAGACATAGTTAAAAAGAGATTAAATTATTGTAGAAAAAGTAAGTACCAGTCCACAGTCTTCCAGTTGAATCACATTTGCCATCATTGACACTTGAGTTAGCAGTAGTTTCAAATTTCCTGACGACTGAAAAATTGTCAGTTTCACCATCCCAAGTTATGACCCTTACTTCTCGTTCTCTACTTATGATAAACGTATTATTTTGACCTTTTACGGGTATTATGAATGACACATGTGCACCTAAAATGGAACAAGATTCTATTTCAGAATAGATCAAGTCATAGATTGTAAATTTAATTGTATAACGATTAACGAAAATCTTGGATAATAGTGTTTTTTAAAATTTAATCTATTTTTAATCCTTTTTCTCCTTTTACCTGTGGCAGCTGTCGTAAGTTTTTTTGTAGCAGGTACGTATTTGTTAATTATCTGGTTCACAATGTCAACAAAATAAAGGCTTTGGGTGTCTTCATCCCAATGAGGGCCTTCACTTAATGCGAAGTTTTCTAGAATTCTTTCTATTTTGGGTGCCATTATCCTGTATCTAAAACAAAAATTATTTTAAATGTAATAACATACACCAAAGTGAAGTTATTTCGCAAGTACTATGAAAACTTGTGTCGCCACTATTTAGGTGAAAAACAATTTTAAAATATATTGCAGAAAACAACTACTTGGCGAACTAATTCTTCGACCGGCACTTAATTAATTATTCGCTATCAGAGTCAATAGATATATACCATTTCGACCTTATTAGTTTTCAACAGTATGGTGATCTACGATTGATAACTGTTACTCAATGTTCAGGCCTTAAAACTTCCGAATGCTGCAGTTTATAAAAAAAAATTTTTAGTTCAATCAATTCTATTTCTGATTTCTTTAATTAATTAACGTATAATGTTCTGTAGATTTCAATATATTTGTCATAATCAATTCCATAGCTAACTAGATTTTCTAGAAATGTAACAATATTACAATTTTTTTAAATATCAGTCGTTACGTTGTTCGTTACAAAAAGTTACAGGCACAAGCAAATCCATGCCTTTACTACTCCAGAAGCAGCTCCTTTGACACATCATTTAGTTTAAATTTCACATCATCGCTATAAGTATTTCCATAAGTATCTAATATTATACACAATTAGTAAAATATTGACTGACCTTGTTTAATCTTCTATTAATTGTACACAACAGTCTGTCTAAAACATTACACTACGACATTGTATTTATATATTTGCCTTATATTAGCAAGATAATAATCCGCGATAAAGTATTGCAAGTCATTAATATACGCTAATCACCAAAAATTAGTACCTACCTATTTAAATATAACATTTTCATGTTATTTTTAAAAAACAACTACCACCTACCAAAGACAAAAGAAAATAGTTCTACTTACAGAGTACCAACACTATAAACTAAAATATAGAAATACACAATATATGTAATATATTGAATCCAAATCAAATACAATAAAATTAAATGTTAGTAACACTAGAAAAATTGATACTAATGTAATACAGACAACCATTTTACTTTTAAACTTTGTAAAGAAATACTAAAGATATCTATTAATTTAATAGTGCAGAGAAATATTATCTCAAATAGTACTAAATAAAAAAATACCTACCGGACATATTTAAACTACTAACTAGTGTTCCAAAACATCCAAGAAATTGACAAAGGCAGACCAACATTATATATGATCTTTGTCCGAAGTGAGTGAGAATACATGTGGTTTATGATTTCTTGTACAAGGATTTTTTGACAATTTTCAGGATGTTCTGGGATTTGGAAAGATGTACAGGATTTACTGAGAGACTGCTTAGAATTTGCCTGTTATGTACATGATTAGCGCATACGTATTGCTTTAATTTTTACCCATAGAGTTGTTTTTTCCAGATATTTTCAAAACTGTTATAAAAAATTTAGAACTGATTATTACTTTTTTACTACGAATCTAAGCTTTGAGAAATATTGTATAAATTTTAGTTAGCGATATATTAGAGCCAAAAATATTACATTTTAGACCCTAAAAAGACAGATTGCGTCGGCTTAGAATACATTTAATTTAAAAGTTAAACGTTGCAAGCACTTATATTGATAAAATAACTTATAACGTATTTTAAGCTAAATTGTTATTGTAATTTAAATAAAAGTAGGTTACTGTATTATTTATATATTTTAAAAACTTATAGTTATAGTTTAAGTCGCGACATCTAGTGATAGTAGGTTGATTTATAAATTTAAACTGAATTTGCGGTACGATAAAAACAAAAGGAACGAAAAAGTTAGGAAAAAAAAGGTTGATCCTCGCGGGCGGCATTCATGAACGAGCGTTTGAAAAGTATAAGTTAGCGATTGATGAAATTATAGACATATCGTTAAATAATAACGGATTTTCATCAATTTCGCATTAGAAGATTGTATTTTTGGTATTTAATGTGTTTGGTTCATCGGTCTTCTTGTCCAAAACAAGTATATGGGATGCAATTATGTGAGAATGGGAAAAACCAGCTTGGTACATAGGGATATTCGTTCCTGACGGTTTTTCTTTTGGATTAAGTCAGACGTTGAATTATTTCATAGTTATTCCTGGTTGCTGTGGAGTCCGCTCGATTTTACACTACGATCTGGGAACCTAGAAAATTATTAGCTAGGCGGCCGTTCGAGGAGGAATCGCCTCCTATTACCCTTAGGATATTTTCTCCCACAAACACATATTTTACATTGGTTTTACATTGGTTAATCCACTTATTATACATGTTAGTGCAATTTGTAAATTAAGTGTCGTTTTTTTTTTGTAAATTTGTTTACCACCATTGCTTATTTATACTTATATTAAATTTCTACAGTCTATTTAAAATTCAGGTCATTTTTTTTGTTGAACCCCTCAATCATTTTGCCTGTGGCTTAAATGCTGTCGGTTTAATCACCGATTCCCCTGCAATCGAACACTTTCTTTTACGATTTTAGTTACTGGTAAGTACCTATAAAATTATTAACATAAAAAACTATTCAGGTGGAAAACAAAACAGGAGATATATTTTTTGGAACAGAAAAGAATTTTATGAAAGTAAAGGAAAGGAAAATAATTAGTAAAAAACTCAATTTATGTTTGATTTAATCTTCATACTGATTGCATGCAACCTACCATTTGATATAGTAAATATTAAAACATTTCATTCCTACTGGAACAAATATAACCCCGAGTGAAAATTACCATGTCGGACCAGCTTGGATTAGGAATATTACACCAGTAGATGTAGAACGGTCGTTCCTTTCAGATTTAGATATTTTATCACCGCTGCTAATAAGTTTCCCTGAAACATACGTGATTGTGGAACCGATGGCAACGATACGTAAACAATTTACGTGTTTCACAATGATACACTGACATAAAGCTTATATAATCATTGTTCACTTTATTTTATATTGATGATCCGCACGCCTTTGGTGTGCGGCCAATTATGACAGCTCTAGTAATAAGTAAGGAGTGGCTGCTACTGGGCATCCGCGTTTTGTCCATTGTTGTTATTAAGTATTAATCAAATTCGACATTAAAATGAAAATGGACAAGCAAGTAGCAGCAGCAGCAGCAGCAACAGCAACAGCAACAGCAGGAGGAGGAGGATTATTCCGGGGGTGACGCTGGGTCATCTCAACTAGGTGTTTTAAAGAAAAATTTGAAAATTTGATAATTAAATGTATTTTTGCAGCGGCGGCGGATAAACATATTTTTTTCTCGAAAAGTCAAAAAGGCAAGAGATAAAAAAATTATTTTTAATTATTCAATCTAAAAACAAATCAATATCAAACTTATAAAACAGCATGCTTAAATTTATATTTCTATCCCCTATTAAAACCTGAGAAACTGTATATCCAGCTCACCTTGAACCCAAGATATGGTAAAGACAATTGAATGTATTTTTGTATATTCTAGAAGAAAACTGTGGAAAGTTTTCTTTTTGATAAGAAAATACGGCCTACTGAACAATAATATGTCACCTTCCTCCCACACAAGCATCCGACTTTTGGAATAACTTTGATGATTGGAAGATACAATATTAGTACAAGATCCCGATTAGATCGACCTTCACCCATCGAGTTTTCTAATGAAATTTGAATTCTGATAATATAATGTACTAATAAACAAAACTTGATTTGGTCGATATCCAATTCACAACTATTTTTAATAAAAAAAATATTATTTTTTTCATGAATGTAAGTTATTGAGTTTTTGGATAAATTTATTACCAATTGAAAGTAAAATATGTATACAATATGCCAGAGTTTGGTCGACATTTTTGTTTCTTACATAAAACCAGGTAGAAAGGTATAAACAGGTAACTTTGTAACTTTGAATTGAATTGAATTTTGAGTTGAATTGATTTGAATTTAATTGAATTAAATTGAATTTTATTTATTTACTAGTTGACCCGGCAAACGTTGTTTTGCCACATAAATTATTCCTAGGATTATTTTAGTAGATTTTTCATAAAGAAATTTCAATTCTACCATCTATATTATATTTAGTGTTATTCAGTGTATATCGTGTATATTTTTTTTATTAATGATAATAGTAATCGTCACTATTACGATTAATGCACAAACAACAATAATAATGGCCGAAAACTGTAGGGAGTGAGAAACGGCTTGTTGTGTGAGAGAGATCTCATCCCTACTCCGTGCTGTTTACTGGGTCAGGTCAGAAGTGACACCGGTCGACGCCTGGCGGGGATAAAAAAATTATCAAGTGATAATTGATCAGTTATCGACCGGGGTTGAAAATTATTGAATTACTAATATCGCTATTAAAAAATAGGGGTTGATGGTAGAAGGGTGAAAATTTAGGATTGTATGTATTTTTTAAGGCCACATCATAAAAAAAATAAAAATAAAAAATTTTGTCCAAAAAATAAAAAAAAATGGGGTGGACCACCCTTAACATTTAGGGGTATGAAAAATAGATGTTGGTCGATTCTCAGACCTGCCCGATAAGCACACAAAATTTCATCAAAATCGGTCCAGCAGTTTGATAACAAACACCGCGACACGAGAATTTTATATATTAGATTTATTTATTTATTTAATTTAATTCATCCAACGGGATGAGAACCCTTTTACAGGATGAGTAAAAACAGAAAATATGTAACATAAGGGTAGCATAATTACAATAAAACAAAAAAATGGTATAAAGAAAGACAATAAAAACACAATAGAACATCAAGCATAGTTAAAAAGACAACGGCAAAACAATATAAGATAACTAACAATGATATAACAATATTACAAAATAAAGACAAAAAAAAAACATAAGTTATAAGAATAAAATACAGATCTTAAAATGTGTAAGCACGCTTTATATCCGCAAGCGTACAATTAAATATATCCAGCCGTTCTTCAATGTTACAGTAATTTCTTAGCATCATAATATAAGGGAGACCACTGCAAAATATTAGTACGGGAGTAGGAAATAATAAATAAATTATTAGATCTAGCGTTGTCTCTAGGAACTCTGTAGCTATTGTTAACAAGCTTGTATAGGAAAATTATAGAATTCATAATCCTCCTTCTAATTAGACTGCTCATCTCAAATCGTTTCAATAATAAGTGTTGTGAATATCCTCTGGTTAGATAAATCCCATCCGATATGAAACTTGCGGATTTAAAGATCCTTCGCTGTACTTTCTCTAACGCCGTTATATGACAATTATAACTTGGAGACCAAATTATAGAGTCGTACTCCAATTTAGGCCTAACAAACCTATTAAATAATACTCGTAATGTAGATATGTTTTTAAAATCTCTACTGTTACGTAGTATGAACCCCAGATTCTTGTACGCTCCAGCTATGCATTCTTCCATATGTTTATTGAATGTTAATTTGCCGTCAAAAAAGATGCCGAAATCTTTAACAAATTCAGTCCGATTAAGTATCTGATTATTTAAAGTATAATTAAAACAAATTTTACTATTTTTACGAACAAATGACATTACATTTGGATTCAAGGGCAGTCGATTACAATTACACCATAAATTAAGCAGATTCAAGTCATGCTGTAGTTGCAAACAATCGGATTCGGAGTTAATATCTGCATAGAGCTTGAGGTCATCAGCGTACAACAAGAAGTGAACATTTAGATCTTCGGCGATATCATTAATATACAAAACAAAAAGCAAAGGTCCAAGTATGGAGCTTTGATTAAAAAACACAGAGCTGTGACCACGGTACCGTACAAGCTGAACAATTTTGAATTGAATTGAACTTTAATTTTTTATTAAAAATATCTGTGCAGGGAAATTGAATGTCTACCAAATCAAGTTTTGTTTATGAATACATTATATTATCAAAATTCAAATTTTATTAGAAAGCTCGATGGGTAAAGGTCGATCCAAGTCGGGATCTTAAACTATATGTATTATTATTTTTATCAAGCTAACTAAGAGTATTGAGCCGTTTTTGCAATATAAATCCAAAAAAAAAAGAGAACAGTTGTGTACATTATTTATTTCATATAGTATATAGTATTCAACTAGATAATAAATTTATTCGCAGGAAAACCCCTTGCTCCTAATCCTGTGATTCTATAAAGTCCACCATTTTCTGGGGGTGACAGTTTTGCGCCATCGCCATGCTGTACACAAGCAGTAGTAACATATAGTTCATCTAACTTGCTTCCACCAAATGCTACCGATGTAATCTAAATGAAATAGTAAGGAAAATTAAATAAGTAAAATTATTATAAGTTTTGTATGCTCAATTAAATCATGTGTTAGTATTATCCCTCGGATTTACCTGTTTAGCTGGTAATGAAATTGTGTACAGAAGTGTTTCTGGTTTCCGGGGATCTATTTTAAAGATTCTACCACCCCCAAATGTTGCTACCCATAAGTTACCATCGGTGTCAATAGTCATACCGTCAGGCCCACCAGGAATATCATGCTTTGGTAAAGTGAATATAGGGTGACGATTTTCTAAAACAAATATCGAATATTATTACCAGTACTAGTTATATTTTAGGTTTATTCCCCACAGATTTAGTTTAGAAGTTTGACCCCTAACTTGGGTACTAGAGCAGAAGAGGTATCGAGGCAACGAGAAAATTGATGAATTAATTGTATACACAAAGAATTGCTCATGATTAGGCGATCCTGAAAATTTCAACTCAATCCGTTGAGCGGTTTTCAAACTATATGATTTTTAAAATGCGAATATTTGTCTCAGTCATGGCAATGCAATGACGTCACCGCATGGGACGGTCAGCCGGCTTGGCGCGCATCGTAGGAGGCGCTCGTACGCTACTTCCAGAAGTTCCAGATGAGTTTCTGCATCTTTAGGCTATAGAAACGTTGTAGTACCTACCACATAGATGTTTTAACGTTTGTGCATATTAAATTTAAAAAATGGAAGCAAACTTCGTAAAAGCAGATTCTTCTAATTTGCCAGAAGTAGTAGTATAAACCATGACTTTATCAGTGCTGAGATGAGAGGAGTGAAAATGCAAAGATACGTTTTAATAACTTGTAAAGCTTCTATAAAGTACGTTTTTAGCGAAAGTTTTGATGTTTTTGTACAAGAAGAATAGTAAATAAAAATAAGGATTTTACGTTTAATTGGACGAAACCGTTTCTGTCACAGGTTTCAAAGATTTGCCTAATCAAATGCAAAAATCTGATTACTATTTTTATTCCCATGGAAACTACATAAATCTACCTAATATCTATTACAGGGTGGCCAAATAAAAACGAAACAGAGCCATTTTCAGGAACTGCGTCAAGATTGTAGAAAAACGCACAGACTCGTCAATTTCAGATTAAAGGGGGACATTCTTTGCTGGTATTTTTGACTCCGCCATTTTCACCCCCAAGCAAGGACAACCATTATCCCAAAATATTTAAGTGGCATTGGAGGTTGAGTAATATTTCTTTTGAAAGCTCTTACAATTCTCTTTACAACAGACTTTAAATTTTATAATTCCGCCCAATATTTATTAAGAATTTTGATTTTAAAATTGAAACTTATGTACAAAAAATTAGTAACGGTAAAAATGTCAGTCATTCAAGTTAAGTACGCGAATGGTATAAATTTAGTATTTCTTACGTTACATTGGTTTTTGGCGATNTAAAAGATATTAAAAAAAACAAATCAAAGTAGACTAATAGACTATCGATTTTAGATCCGCACGACAGAATTGCGGGGACATTATTATTTTCTTAGGCGTCTATTTGTAATTTGTTTCTGTTCTGTGTCTTCCAAATTGCTAACAAAATTCGTAGTATCTTGACGTACTAATCAAAACTTAACAGGCAACTAAAAGCCGACTACCCGACTGACTGACAACACATGTAAGCATGTCGCATTGGTTTCCCATGCGGTGACGTCACTCCTTCAGCGGATACTTAGCGCGCCAGTTTATGATTTTTTTTTGATGACTAGCACGCGATATAAAATTCTATTCTTTTGTAGGGAACCTTAAAATTGCAATATCCATCCGTTAAGAAAATAAAAAAAAATGCTGAATGAGCCCATTGTGGAACAATTTCCAGGCTGATTGCCAAGGCGTTGATTTACACTTTGTGATAGATATATTGCTTTCTTCTCTAGAAGTATCTTTGAAACTTATTTTATCAATCAACCCGGAAATTGTTCAAACCATGGAAAGTCTGATGAACCAACGTCACAGATCAAAAGGAATAATAATTGTACATTGTAGATTCAGAAAATATTTGAGAAATATTGGCATGGTAGAGGACAGCGTGTGTATATCTACTATACGGAAGAGAAAACCCAGAAGTTGTGTAAAGTAGCTACTGCTAAAGTTGTGAAATAATAGAAGACTAATGTTAGATGAACGGTCGCCATGGAAAAGGATAGTAGATATCTCTAACCGTTCAATTGTATTAAGAGTTGCATTAAGTAATTAATTTATAAATGAAAGCTAGGTTAAATTACATATGGCAAGTGATTTCTTATCTACTATATGTACATGATAAAATCGAATGCAAATAGAAAATCTGTTGTATCCAAAACGATCTGTACATTTCTGTAAAAGTATATATTCTACAAATTACTCTTAAAATTATTTTTGTACCTACGGCGTTGTTGACAAAGTGATCACATACGCATATGAAGGAAAAAATATATTGGTGAATAATTCAGTAAGTAAGGTAAGTAAGGTTCTTATATTCGTATACCAGATCACAAATGTTTTGTTGCTAAAAGAGCGATTATCCGATTATCCTATCCAAATTTCCCAGAAATATGTAAAGTGTTGACTCTATGTATTAAAGAAGTCTGTATTTGGAAGAATGTTAACTTGAAATGTTCAACTTTTTCAAGAGGTAATCAAATCTCAGTTTTATACATTTCTATCTGTCCAATTATATAAACAAGAATATGTTGTATGGGCCAAAAAACGGATCTTAAAACCCCCTAACCTCAATCTCCATAACAACATAACCCTTCAACTACATACCATAAGCCTGAGATACGATAATGCGAGCATCAAAATCGTCATTAGATACGAGTATCTAATGACGATTTTGATGCGTTCCATAACCTGATAACCGTATGAAATAGGAAACGGAGCAGATAGAGCGAAGGAATGCACGAAATATGTGCAATGGTTGACTAACATTAGAATCTAGACTCATGTAACTCTATAACCCCATAATCTTGTATCCGAAATCACCGTAATCATCACCCAAGAATCATAACCCTATGACACTGTATCAATAAATGTCGTAGTCATTGAATTAATTTGTCCTGTTCCCTTTTCATAAGGTTACGGGGTTATTGGGCTCATTAGGTATGGTGGTTTCTGATAAAGATTTCACAGGGTTGCCGAGTTTCGATTTTGAGGTTAGGAGGCTTCATGATTTTAGGGTGCTCATGAAAGACCCATGAATTACTTAATTTTACTATTAACGGCTGAGGGTTTGGCGTTGAATGGAGTGGGACCATGGAATGGACTTTTCAGGATATACATATAACAACAATTTACAAAAAATCCTGATATGTAGGTCAAAACGTGTCTGACATCAAAACTTACTAATTGTTCCTCGTTCAACATCAAAATCAAATTCATCTACGGTTTTGGTGTGAGTATCAATGTAGTACATTTTCTTTATTTCCGTGTTGAATGCCAAACCATTGGAGATAATTATTTTATCTGCAACTTTCGTGACGTGGCCTTTTTCAATAGAATAAAGACAACCCGTAGCACCACCTTCCCTTGGAGCAAGTGTGCCTGAAGGTAAATATAACAAACAAATTTTCATGGTTTTATAAATATTATGTTTATATTTTACTTGCCTACCCATAATCTGCCTGTAGGGTCACATTTACCATCGTTGAATTTCTCATTGTTGTCAGTGTTAATTTTTTTCACAACAGTAATGTTGTCGCTTTCTCCATCCCAAGTTACAACTAACAATTGCCGTTCTTTACTGATTAAAAATGTATTTTTATGTCCCTCTACAGGAATAATTAATGAGACGTGTGTACCTAAAATGAAAAAGATTGGAAAGGTAAAGCAACTAATTTAACATTGATATTTTTTATTTAAAACCCATTAGCGGCCAAAGGTGCGTAAACGCACCCTTTTATTTTAATTTTTTTTTGAGATCATCCGTAAAATTCTATGCTTTCCTACCGACAGAATCTTATGTCAACAGTCCAGAGAGTGTACTAGTATTTTTATTTAATTAAAAATAATATTGTTTTAATATTATTTTTTTAAAGAAAATACGATATTTAAAACTTTAGAACACATTTTCAAACAAATATTGTTCTAAGTTAGTAAAAATGAGCAGACTATTTTTTTTT